CGCCTGCTCGCTCAGACTCCCGAGTTCCCCCCCCCTCCTCGGGCGTTGCCGGAAGGGGTTCCTGGCCCCAGGGGGCCCCCGGGATATCCAGGGAGGCCCCCGCGGCCTCCAAAGCACGCCCCGCGAGGCCCAGGGGGCCCCAGGGGCTCGAAGCTGCCGGGTCGGCGTCGTCGGGCCCCCCTGCGCCGCCCAGATGGGGCCCGGGCAGGACGGGTTTGGATCGGGGAGCCGTGCGACTCGAGTTCGCCAGAGCTCGGGCTTGCTCACGCTTTTTGACGAGGCCGTCCTGGATTTTGGCGGTCCAGCTTTCGTGGGACGTTTGCGGCGGGAGCTTGCGTCAAGTTTCAGACTGGGTCTCGTCATTTTCCTGCCGGCCCCGCCAGACCAACCCGAGTCCCCCGAACCCGAGTCTTCTGTCTCCCCGATTGGAGCATGATGCTTTCCATCCCGACGTCGCCGATGCATCGCCGATACATCGGCGATGTGGTGCGATCCTCCGCCCCCATCTGCTCCAGCCGCACTTGGGCGGCCTCCACCTCTGTCGCAGGGAGGCGGGCCGACGGAGGCGAGATGAGGTCAAACAAGTTTTAGGAAGAGTTCCCTTCCTGGGCTCTGTCTGGATCTCGGAGGAAGCCTTGGTTCCAGGCTTGTTGTCCCCTCGGGTCCAGGGTAGGGTTAAGAAGTCGGGCGTGTCCCCCTACAGGGGGACTTTCGACGAAAAATAACAAATACCCGAAAACTCGTCCCAAAATAGTCCAAACATAGTCTGGGGACTATTTTTTGAGTATTTTTTGACAATGTGTGGCATTTCTGGGGTATTTTTTATTTAATCGCTTCGCTCATTCCGCCGGCTCATAATGTCGCACCGTGGTCGCCTGTCCGAGTGGTCGTTTGCAGTGTGGAGCTGCGGCGTCGGAAGCTGCGTAGTTGTCGATAAATTTGTTAATGTTTTTTCATAGGGTTTCTAGGTGGTTGCAGTTTTTTGACGGCTTTGGTGCCATCGTGGGGGCGTGTTACCCGTGGTATCCCGCTGTGGGGCCGTTCGAGCCGGGGGAAGAGACATCTTATGCGATAGGGGAACCCTCGTGTCGGAGGGTGGCGGGCTTTGAATGCTAACATTGGCTCTGTTATCGTCCTGATGTCCTCTGGCGTTGCGGACACGGGCGTGAAGGAACACTTTCTTGTGGCGTTTCTCTTACCATCTCTTTTCTAATTGGACCGGAGGAGGAGGAGGAGGAGGAGGAGGAGGAGGAGGAGGAGGACGAGGAGGAGGAGGAGGAGGAAGGAGGAGGAGGAGGAGGAGGAGGAGGAAGGAGGAGGGGGATGAGGAGCGATGAGGAGCGAGGAGCGCCTTTGTCGTCGTCGTCGTCGCCGCCGCCGCCGCCCGCCGCCGCCGCCCGCCGGCGTCGTCGTCGTCGTGGAGGGTCGAGGCTCGAGGCTGGAGGCCGAACGCGGGGGAGGAGGACCACCCCGACCCGCGTTTCCCAAGTCGCGTCTGGCTGGAGTCTTGGAGGCGTCCTGGGGGCCTCCTGAGGGTTTGTTGGAGGCCTCCAGAGGGCCTTTTGGAGGCCTCTTGAGGCCTCTTGAGGGCCTCTTGGGGGCCTCTTGGGGCCTTTGGGGGCGTCTTGGGGCCTCCCGGGGGCCTCTAAGGGCCGAGAGCTCGAAATTCTGTTTCGTGAACCCCCTCTTGGGGCGTTCTTGAAGCGTTCTTGGGGCCCTCTTGGGCCGTCTTGGAGGCCTCTTGGGCCGTCTTGGAGCCGTCTTGGGCCATCTTGGAGCCCTCTTGGGGGCCTCTTGGGCCCTCTTGGGGCGATCTTGGAGGCCTCTTGAGCCGTTTAGGGGCGTCGGGGAACCGAAAAGGTTGAAACGCCCAAATCTGTCCAAACCTATGGAAAAGCATTGTTTGTTTGCCTCTTGGGGCCCTCTTGGGAATGCACTTGGAGACCTCCTGGGGATCTTGGAGGCTTCTTGGGTCATCTTGGAGACGTCTTGGGCCGTCCGGAGGCCATCTTGGGCGTCGTGGAGCGATCTTCGGGCGTCTCGGACCTCTCTTGGACCGTGTTGGGGGCGTTCTTGGGGCCCTCTTGGGCCGTCCTGGAGGCTCTGGGGCCGTCTTGGAGCTGTCTTGGGCCGTCTTGGGGCCCTCTTGGGGGCCTCTTGGGCCCTCTTGGGGCGATCTTGGAGGCCTCTTGAGCCGTTTAGGGGCGTCGGGGAACCGAAAAGGTTGAAACGCCCAAATCTGTCCAAAACCAAAGGAAAGCACAGTTTTTTGCCTCTTGGGGCCCTCTTGGGAGTTCTCTTGGAGGCCTCTTGGGGCATCTTGGAGGCTTCTTGGGCCATCTTGGAGACGTCTTGGGCCGTCCGGAGGCCATCTTGGGCGTCGTGGAGCGATCTTCGGGCGTCTCGGACCTCTCTTGGACCGTGTTGGGGGCGTTCTTGGGGCCCTCTTGGGCCGTCTTGGAGGCCTCTGGGGCCGTCTTGGAGCCGTCTTGGGCCGTCTTGGGGCCCTTTTGAGGGCCTCTTGGGCCCTCTTGGGGCGATCTTGGAGGCCTCTTGAGCCGTTTAGGGGCGTCGGGGAACCGAAAAGGTTGAAACGCCCAAATCTGTCCAAAACCTAAGAAAAAACATTGATTTTTGCCTCTTTGGGGCGATCTTGGAGGCCTCTTGAGCCGTTTAGGGGCGTCGGGGAACCGAAAAGGTTGAAACGCCCAAATCTGTCCAAAACCTAAGAAAAAACATTGATTTTTGCCTCTTGGGGCCCTCTTGGGAGTGCTCCTGGAGGCCTCTTGGGGCATCTTGGAGGCTTGTTGGGTCATCTTGGAGACCTCTTGGGCCGTCTGGAGAGGCCATCTTGGGCGCGGTGGAGCGATCTTCGGGCGTCTCGGACCTCTCTTGGATTGTGTTGGGGGCCTCTTGGGGCCCTCTTGGGGCGATCCTGGAGGATCTGGGGGAGTGTCCCGGGCGTGTCCCGGGCGTGTCCCGGGCTCCTCTCGGGGTACTTTTGATCCAGGGATCCCCAGGGGCCGCCCCGCGCGCGCAAACTAGAAATACTGTTTACCAGTTACCGGAGATCTTAGCACGCCTCTGGCCCGTTGGGCCGGCGAATTTTTCGTCGAAAACCCCCCTGTAGGGAAACAGGCCCGACGTAAGGGTAGGGAAGAGGAGCAAACAGAAGAGGAGGACAACAGGATGGGGGACAGAGTTTGTCGTGGCGCTTCTAAATCCGCACTGCGCCCCGCCGCCGCCGGCCCCCTGGTGCAGCAGCCGCCGCGGGCCCTCCGGCTGGGTCGGCCGCGCCACACGCTCGTGGCGCCCGTCCCCCTGAGCGGCGTGCTCCCTCCGCCCCCTCTTTCGGCCGCCTCCTCTGCTTTTCCCTTCCCTCCTGCATGGTGGCGCAGTTTGCTACAGCGGTATCCCCGTTTAGGCAGCCCTCCGCCAGCGCAGTTGCCATGCTTCGCCGCCGACGCAGAACAACTGTTTTGGCGCTTCTCGCCGTGCGGCCGTTGAGGCTGCCGCGCGTGCCTCCTGGGCGACTTGCGGAAGCCGCCACAATCCTGGCTCCCGCCCAGCTTGTTCGGCGCCCGCCCCTGCTGCAAGCTGGGGGCACCGGTGTCGTCGTCGTGGTCGCGGTCGCGGTCGTGGTCGTCGTCGTCGTCGTCGTCGTCGTGGTCGTCGTCGTCGTCGTCGTCGTCGTCGTCGTCGTCGTGGTCGTCGTCGTCGTCGTCGTGGTCGTGGTCGTCGTCGTGGTCGTCGTCGTCGTCGTCGTCGTCGTCGTCGTCGTCGTCGTCGTCGTTCTGTCCGTCGTTGCCGTCGTCGTTGCCATGCCCTCTTTGAGGACTGGGCCCCCGCGCGCGGGCCTCGCCGAGACCCTTCTGGCCTTTTGGGGCGTCCTCGCCGCCACGGCCAGGTCCGCCTGGAGAGTGCGGCAGACCTCCCCCTCCCCCTCCCCCTCCCTCCCCCCCTCTCCTCCCCCTCTCCTCCCCCTTTTCCTCCTCCTCCTCCTCCTCCCCGCCTCCTCCTCCTCCTCCTCCTCCGCCTCCTCCTCCTTCCTCCTCTCCTCCTCCTCCTCTCCTCCTCCTCCTCCTCCTCCTCCTCCTCCTCCTCCTCCCCTTCCTCCCTCCTCCTCCTCCTCCTCCTCCTCCTCCTCCTCCTCCTCCTCCTCCTCCTCCTCCTCGCATCTCAAGACGTGGCGCCAGATGTGTTTCGCAGTGCTGGGCGTCCAGGGGCCCTTTCCCAGGGTGGGGGGTGGCACACGCACCTGGCCTGGGGAAGGGCCGGGAGCTGCTGCGGGCCTGGGGAAGGGCCGGGAGCTGCTCCGAGGGTTTGCGCCGAGCGAAAACGAGACGTCGGTCTAGGGAAGGAGGAGGTGAGGAGGAGCAGCAGCACCATCAGCAGCAGCAACATGTTTCTTGCTGTTTTTTACGTCATGCCTCCTTGCTTGCCTCCCGTGCCCTCCCTCTCTTCCCCCACCTGCTCCCCCTCTCTTTCTCGTTCTTCCACATTCCTACTCCTCGAACTCCTCCTCCTCTTTCCCATGGGTGTCTGTCTTGCCTTACGTGAGGCTGCTTTCTGCAAGGTCATCTGGTGAACCCTCTGGCGGCTTTTCCAAGAAGTGGCGCCCCCAGCACAGACATCTCTTCGTCCTCCTGTCCCTCTGCCTCGTATTCCGCACAGGAGAGCATCAGGAAAAATTTCGTCCTGGTTTACGAGCTGCTTGACGAGATGGTTGACTTCGGCCACCCCCAGACAACCAACACCGAGCATCTTAAGTGCGCCCCCCACTCGCGTCCTCTCTGGATGACGCACTTGAAGAAGCACACCACGATGCAGGTGAGGTGCTAGTTAATGTTGGAGCTTGCGTCGCGTCATTAGTTATCTGCACTTGTCTTTGCGGTGGTCGCATGTGTGGAGAGGCGTATCTGCTATGCCAGAGCACCGGGGGGCCAGGGGATCGGGCCCGTTCACCCTCCCGCATTTCCCTTCTCCCCTTGCGGCGCCAGAAACTCGAACTCCCTCCAGGGCCTCCCTGGCTTTCCCCTGGCGGCTTCAAATAGTGTCAGGGGGCGCAAGTAAGCGACCATAGCGGCCCAACAGGGCCGAAGGGCAGACCGAGCACTTCCAGGACGGCGCAAGACGGCCCGACCATCCTAACAGGGCCCCAGGAAGGACCCATTATGGGCCCAGAGAGGCTCGATACGGCCCAGGAGGGCCCCCAGAGGGGTGCAAGACTGTCCAAGAGTTGCAAGAGGGCCCAAAGACGGCCCAAGATGGGCCCAAGAGGCCCCAAGAGACCCCCAAATCGGCCCCAAGAGACTTCCAAGGTGGCCCAGGAGGCCACCAAGATGGCTCCAAAGTGGCCCCCAAGGATCCCAATACCACATCTCCAGCATGTGTTCAAGAGTGGTAAAGACTGCCCAGCGACTGCGGTAGGTGACCCAGAAGCTCCCAAATCATGCCGCCGAGAAGCGGCGGCAATCTAAGCGCGCGAAGCGCGCGTGGTTCTGGTTAACGTATCATTTCAAGAGATGTTGGTTACAGTGTTCACACTTGGTTTTTAGAAGGAGAGCGAGCTGCTGATACACTGAGTTCGCGCATGCCGACACATCGATAGCTTTAATTACTATATCGTCATTGCTACTTATTATTACAAATGGTTATCAGTATCATTCGTCTTCTTCTTATTATTAGTATTATTCTTGTTATTCGTAGTTGGTGTACTAGTACTGTTATTATCGTTATTTTTATCATCATCTTGGTTATACATGTGAGAGGTTGTTCGCTCTTGCCATGACCATTATCATTATTATTTGCTACCGTAATTTGTCAGTGTCAGTCTCATCATTGTTATTTCCCCCCTAACTATCAGCGTCACCATTATCACCATCACCATCGTCGTAGTCACCATCATCATCAGCAGCATCACCACCGTCATCAAAATCATCATCACCACCACCATCATCATCATCATCATCATCATCGTCATCCTCATCGTCATCGTGCTCATCATCCTCATATTCATCATCATCGCCACCACCATCGTCAACGTCATTATCATCAGCATCATTCTCATCAGCATCATCAGCATCATCAGCATCATCAGCATCATCAGCATCATCAGCATCATCAGCATCATCAGCATCATCAGCATCAGCATCAGCATCATTAGCAGCATCATCATCATCACCATCACCGTCACCACCACCATCACCATTGCCATCATCATCATCATCACCATCATCGTCGTCATCATCACCATTTACACTACCATCATCAGCATCATCATTATTGTAATACCATGCTCTCGCACAGTTATGTGGGTACACGCATACACACATATACACACATACACATATATATACATATATACATATATATATATAGCTTGCCCCCCCAGCACCCCCAAACGACGGACTAGGGGGGGGGCGTCATCCTCCTCATCTTCTTCATCCGTCTCATCTTCCTCCTCTCCTCATCATCATATCCTTATATCCTTCTCTTATATCTCCTCCTCTTCCCCTGCGCCTCATCATCTGCTCCTCTCGCGGGGCAGTACAGCCTCGAGCGGAGGATGATGAGGATAATGGTGATGATGATGATGAGGAGGAGGATGACCTGAATTCAATCGGAATCCATTGGATTTTGGACCTGCTCCGTTTCTATTGAAGTTTGCCTAGAACCCTATTCAAATTCAATAGGAATCCTCTGGATCTGGGACCTGCTCCGTTTCCATTGGAATCATATGAGAATCTTATTCGAATTCAATATGAGTCGTTTTGATATGGGATATGTTCCTTTCCACTTTCAATTCCTGCTCTTCCTCTTCTTTCCACATGTCTTGGGGAGGGAAAGACACAGAGAAAGAGAGAGGGAGATAGAGAGAGAGAGAGAGAGAGAGAATCGGGGAGGGCTCCTCTCTCTCCCTCCTCTCCCTCTCTTCTTTTACTTAGAAAGAGAGGAGAGAACGAGAGAGAGAGAGAGGGGGAGAGGGTGGTGAGAGTTAGTTCCTCTCTCCTTCTCCTATTCCTCTCTCCTCCTCCTCCTCCTCCTCCTCCTCCTCCTCCTCCCCCTCCCCCTCCTCTCCACATGCGTCAAAAACAAAGGGGCAGATAGAGAGAGCGAGAGAGACAGAAAGAGAGAGAGAGAGAGAAAGAGAGAGAGAAAGAGAGAGAGAGAGAACGAGTGTGAGAGAGAGAGTATTCCGCGCCTGCTGCGGCCGCTCGTACTCTTTCCTCTCATGAGGAGAATGAGGAGGATGAGAAGGAGGAGGATTTGGGATCTGCTCTTTTCTATTGCAATCTTATCAGGACCTTGATCAAATGGAATGGGCATTCTTTGGATCTGGGATCTGCTCCGTTCCTATCGGAATCCGATTCGCATCCTAATCCAATTCATTAGGAATCCTCTGGATCTGGGATCTGTTCCTTTCCTATTGAAATCCTATCAGGGCCCTATTCAAATTCGATAGGAATCCCTTGGGTTTGGAAGATCTGCGCCATTTCTATTGAAGTTTGCTTAGAACCCCATCCAAATTCAATAGGGATCCTCTGGCTCTGGGACCACTTCCATTTCCCATTGACATCGTATCCGATTCCTATCCAAATTCAATGGGAATCCTCTGGATCTGGTATCTGCTCCGTTTCCATTGGAATCATATGACAGTCCTATTCGAATTCAATATGAGTCGTTTTGATATGGGATATGCTCCTTTCCTCTTGAAATCCTGCTCTGCCTCTTCTTGTACATATGTTTTTGGAAGGAAAGAGAACAGAGAGCGAGACAGAGAGAGAGCGAGTCGGGGAGAGCTCCTTTCCCTCTCATTCCCCTCCTCCTCCTCCTCCTCTTTTTTACTTAGAAAGAGGATAGAGAGGAGAGAGAGAGAGAGAGAAAGAGAGAGAGAGATAAAGAACAACAAAAATAGAAAGAGAAAGAGAGAGAGAGAGAGACAGACAACGACGACGACGATGACGGGAGAGTTCTTATCTGATGAGGGGAGTTCCGGAGCCTCTGCAACAGCATCATCCTCCTCTTTCTCCTCTTCTTCGTTCTCCTCCCCTTTCATGTTCCTTTTCTTCCATTTCTCATCGTATCCCTCCTCATCCTTTCGCGACGGCTTTGCAAACATATTCCCTTTGCGGCGGCCTTGCCAAAGGATTCCTGTTGATGCGGCCGCGCAGAAGGATTCCCTTTGTGGTGGCTTTTGCAAAAGGGTCAACATGATCCTTTGTTTTGAAGCCTTACAGGATATGTTTTCTTAAGAGAACCATGTGGAACCACAGATATCCCACATATGTTTGCAGGTTTTGGTAAGGAAACTTTGTGATAACACAGATTCCAAATATGCTTGAGGGGTTTGGCAAGGACACCTTGTGAAACACAGATATTCAAGATATTTTAGGTCTTCTGGCGACGGGCGCCCCTCCTCCTCCTGCTCCTTCTCCTCTTCCACGCCCCCCAGGGACGATGCGCCAGGCAGGAAAGCTTGTGAAAACATAGATATGCCAGATATTTCAAGTTTTTTTTTCTGGCGACGGACACCCCTATCCTCCTACTGCGACACGAGGAGGAGGAGGAGGAGGAGGAGGAGGAGGAGGAGGAGGAGGAGGAAGAGGAGGAGGAGGAGGGGGAGAAGGGAGAGGAGGGGGAGGAGGAGGGGAGGGGGGGGAGGAGGGAGGGGGAGGAGGAGGGGAGGAGGACGGGGGAGGAGGAGTCAGCGAAAACGCTTAGGAAAACCAAACAAACCAAAGAAACCAAACAACTATGATTTCGGGAGAACTTTTGGGGAGGGGGGGGGGCAAGGTTCTCCCGAAATCATAGTTTTTTTGGTTTCTTTGTTTTTTTGGGTTTTTTTTTTGTTTTGTTTTTTTGTTTTGTTTGTTTAATGGTTTTGCTGTTTTTCGCAGGTTTCGAGGAGGAGGGGGAGGAGGAGGAGGAGAGCGACGACGAGCAAACGATCAGTGAAGATTTTGCGATTTTGGTGGTTTGGGGGTGCTGGGGGGGGGGGCGACCATATATATATATATATATATATATATATATATATATATAGGTGCCTGTGTGTAGGTGTGTGAAACTTGGCAATACATATAAGCACATGGTCTGGGTTAATTCCGATTCCCCAGCCCTGGGGCCCCAGCCCACCTCTTGGGCCGCCTTGGACAGCTCTCCTGGGTGCCTCTTCAACTTGAGCAGTCTCGGGGCAGTCTTGGGAGCCTCTTGGGTCGTCTTGAGCGTCGGAAGCTTGAAACGGTGAAGCTCGAAAAGGCTCGGTGAAGCTCGAAAAAGCTCGAAAATTATTGAACCGCTCTGTGGACAATCATTGTTCTTGGCCTCTCGGGGCCCTCTGGGGGGCCTCTCGGGGGCCTCTTTTGGCCTTCTCGGGTTTTTTTTTGGCCCTCATGGGGCGGAAGGCTTGACTTGTTGGTTCGTGTTCACCCGCCAGGGCCCTTCTTGGGGCCGTCTTGGGACACTTTTTTGGGCATCCATGAGCACCTCTTGGCCGTCTTGTAGCCCTCTTGGGCCGTCTCGGGGCCCTCTTGGAGGCCTCTTGGGCCTTCTTGGAGCAGTCCTTGTGGCTTCTTGGGTCGTCTTGGGACGTCGGAAGCTCGAAAGGGCAAGAATCCGAACAACATGGACAAACTTTCGGACAATCAATTTATTTTTGCCTCTCGAGGCCATCTGGGGAAGACTCGGGCTCTCCTGTGACGCCTCGACTGCCTCGGGGGCCCTCTGGGACCCCCGCTGGCGACCCCTCCCGGGACCCGCCGGGACCCCTTGGGAGGGCGGTATTCTGTCTGACCCAGGACCCCCGCCCTCCACACCTTCCTCCCCCCCCCTTTCTCGGCAGGGGAGGGATAAAAGGACAGGGCTGCCCTTCGACTCAACTACCACGTTCCTTTTCCAACTGTCCTTGTTCCTCAATGTTCTTGGGACTGACGACGACGCATCTGGGCCTCGGGAGCGCGAACCTGTCGCATTTTGCAAAGGATTGTGGCCTCGGTAG